CCCCCCCATGAACCAAACCGTTGGCTCGTCACATCCACCATCGAGATCTCGAGACCGTTCCAATCCAGTTCGCTCGCTCCGGCACAGTCCACTTATTACTCCCAAAAATCAATTCTTTCTTCGCCTACCTGGCGACGGCTTTCACAATTCTAACACACGACAGGAATTTTACCTTGCGCCTTCCGAAACCCTTTTGCAGAGGCCATGCGCGCGTTTTAATAACACACGGAATGAAAAAAAAAAAAGAAATAAATAAGAAAAAGTAAAAAAGACAAATAATAATAAAAAAGGAAGCAAGAGGAAGAGAAGCCCATGTCAACCCAATCAAGTAAAACGCAAACCATCAATAAGGGAGCGTAGCTAATCCTTGCGCCTCCATGACGAGACGCCCACGTCTTTTTTCCCTCATCAATAACCATCCATGAGAAGGACTTCAAAACACTCCCCCTTTGATTAGGCACAAACCGATCCCGCAGTGATGCGTCGTGCTTGGAAATGGACAAAACATCGTCCATCGTGGACCAGACAATATCCGCTTGGCAGGGGGTCTCGTAACGCGTTCTTTCGCACCTGTGAAACCAGACTCCCCGTGTAGTGGCTGGCTATGTGCCGCTGTCGCCCGCTTCGCATGGCGGTTTGACACAAAAGACACGGTAACGAAGAAAATTCTTCCTCGGCGTGTTTCGTGCCGTATGGATATGCATCAGACGCGCCGGAAAAAGAAGAAACCTCCTGTCCTCTGAACGGAACAGTACAGTATGGGATACGAGGGATGAGGTAGAATGAACGAGGGGAAACTCGTTGCCGACGGCCGCTGCGTCCGCCGTCTCAAAAAAACTTGGCCATGGCTCTGCTTAGATCGATGAAGTCGACGGGTTTTGTCACATAATCGCTGAAACCCGCCGCAACACACTTTTCCTGCACATCAGACATGACATTGGCCGACAGCGCGATGATCGGCAGCTTGGGCAAACTCGATGCCTTCTCCCATTCTCGTACTTCACGGCACGCCTGGTAGCCGTCTTTTCGTGGCATATGGAGGTCGCACTGGCGCTGTACGTTAGCTCCTGGCCCGACCCGAAATGTTCCGCAGCAACTTACCAGAATCAGGGAATAGTAGCTGTGAGGCTTGGACAAAACAATCTCTGTACACTCGACGCCATCCACAGCAACCTCGACCTCGACTCCAATCTTCTTCAAGTACTTGATCAGCACCTTCTGGTTCACGGGGTTGTCCTCCACGAGCAGCACTCTGTACCCCTTGTTGCCCATGCGCTTCTCAATCTCTTGGTAGCTGGCCTTTTGGTTCTCCACCATTTGCTGCGCCGTAGATCGGTTTCTGTCGGTGCTGAGATCTCGCACCTTTTCCGGATCAAAAATGACTGCGAATCTCGACGGCTTGACCGGCTTGTATATAAAGGTGACGAGATTTTCCGACAGAAAACGCTCGTGTTTCGTGTCGGCAGCCAGTTTCTGAAGGGCTTGTCGTTGCACAGAGTCGCAGAGGATCACAATGGTGGTTCCCTCGATTTTCTGCGACTTTGTTATTTGGTCCATGACATCGATGATGGCCTCAGCTGAAGCCAAATTGAGAACAATGTGAGTGAACCGGATAGAATCCTCGCCGCCGAGAAAGGGCTCCGCGTCTTCGACCGAGGCGATGGCCGTGATCCGATGAGGAACGTCCTTTGGTAGCGTCATTTCAATGTGCTGCGCCGTTGCTTCGCGACTATGGTGCTGCGCGCAGATGATCAAGATCGAGTACAGAGGTGGGCGCAAGTCACTCATCAGCCGAGGGCTGCCGGGCTCTGACGCTGTCCGTCTCGACGGCGACCCTCTGTCCGCGGGCATTTCCAGCTTGATCTGAGACAGGTCCTGTCCGCTGGCCTTGGCTGCCTCGCTAAACCGAGTCAGACCGGAACGGCCAGATGCGCCCGAGGGCAACCTTCTGAGATATCCCGGGGGGCTGTCGCTCCCAGGTTCCGGGACACCGCTCGTGCTTGCAGACACAGCGCTAGACGCTGCATCCGCCATTGATGTCTCCTTGGCGCTCGCCCCGTCCTCTGGGCTCCCACTGTCCCGCAACTGCTCCGTCGGGGGGGGGAGCCCTTTGCTTGACCGGTTCGCATTTTCGGATGATTCTTGTCTTGATCCGGCCGAGGCGGTTGATCCTGGACTGATGGGAATGTTGGGATGGTCTTGGGATGACGGCAAGGTGAACCGAGCAGTGAATGTAAACGTCGACCCTTTGCCGGGTATGGCTGTGCCCTCCATCTTGCCGCCATGGAGCTCGACGAGCTGTCGAGAAATTACCAGTCCCAGGCCGCTTCCCCCGTGTTGCCTAGTGCTGCTTCCGTCTATTTGACTGAAAGGCTTGAAGATGAGCTCAGCCTCCTCCTTTGTGAAGCCCCTGCCGGTATCAGTAATGGCAAACTGAAGCATGATTTCATGGTCGTTGCAGGCTGCTGCCGGGTCCTCTTCGGTGTACACTCTGCATCGACTAAACACTTCGCCTTCGGCCGTGAACTTGATTGCGTTTCCAATCACGTTGAGCAAGACTTGGCGGATCCGAACCTTGTCGCCCTTTACCCATGCGGGCACATCTGCTTCCACCAGGTAGTTCAGCTCGAGGCGCTTCGCAATGGCCATGGTTGATACGAGTTCATTCACATCTTCAATCAGAGACCGCGTGTGAAACCACTCGTGCTTTAGTTTCATCATGCCGGCATCCACCTTGGACAGGTCCAAAATGTCATTGATAATCATAATCAAGCTGTTGGCGCTGGTCTGGATTGTGTTGGTGTAGTCTCTCTGCTCCTCGTTGAGCGTCGTGTCCTGCAGAAAGCTTACCATGCCCGAGATGCCGATGAGTGGTGTTCGAATCTCGTGGGACATGTTGCTCAAAAACCGGCCTTTGGATTCCATGGCTTCCTTGAGTTTGGCCTCGAGGAGCTTATGGTCGTTGATGTCGGTAGCAGAGCCAAAGTACGAGCTGGCTCCCCGTCCGAAATCAAGCGTATCGATTTCGACGCAACGAATGAGGTGCCATCGGTACTCGCCCGTCTTGGATCGAAGCCGGACCTCGGTGGTGTATGACAACCGGCCGCTTGTGTCTGTCGTCACTTTGATTATGCCCTTTCGTGCTAGCTCTGTCAGCTCGGCGGACGGGAGGGAGTAGACGGACTCGGAGCCGGAACTGCTCGCTCTTGACAGCGCAGGCTGCGTGTTCCGTGGCCCCAGCTTTCCAACAGCCGGCTGCTGCACATTACGCGCCGATGGCGTGGTCTGGGTGCCTGACGACGACGCTCCGCTGTGGCCCTTTTCCTCCGGGGAGGATTGTGCGTCATTCGAGGGCTTGCCTCCGCGCTCGATTGGAATGCGGCACCGGGCGAGATCGTCAGGGTGCACATGGTTCATGAATCCAAGACCGAGTGAGTCCTCGAACCTCTGCCCAGTGTAGGAAAGCCACTGATCATTGGCAAAAGTGATGGCGTCATCCTCGGTGGCAGTAAAGATGATTTGCGGGATGAGGTTTGCGAGCAGCCGGTGTTTCGCCTCGGATGCCTCAATTTCTTCTTGTCGAGCCGCCTTTAATTCAGCAATGTGCTGGTCGTGAATGTCCATGTACGAGCCCAGGAATTGCATGATGACTCCTCTCTTGTCCTTTGACGCAACAGCACGGGCATAGAACCAGCGATATGCACCATCAAATCTCTTGATGCGGACGGATCTCGAGAACTGCTCGCCCGTCCGAAGTGAGTGGCCCCAGGCCTTGAGATAGCCCTCTCGGTCTTCGGGATGGATGCTCCCCCACGGATCAGCCGACAAATCTGCCACCGTCTGCCCACGATATGACAGGAAGCGGCTATTCACCCACACAGTCTCCCCGGTTTGGGGCAACGACACAAAGACATGGGCAGGCAGCGAGTCTAATATGAGACCCTTTAACCTGTCGGATGGCGGCGGCATGTCCCCGACCATGGACGTCATCGAGCCGCTGCGCGGTGGTGCGGACGGGGCTGGGGGCAGTCTGGCCGACAGACTGGAGCTCGGAGGAAGCGATTGGAAGGTGGAGGAAAAGTCGGCACCGTAGCTATGCAGCACGCTGTGGCCATGATGAGTCGCGTGACGGTGGTGGTTGATGTTGTTGAGGACAGCTCTGCCACCATCTTCGGCCCTGTCGCTCGTCGATTCGGAAGCGCCGCCGTCATTCCCGTTACTGCTCAGGGCAGTCTCCTCCGCCTCCGCCTCCGCCTCCTCCCCCTTTTGGTGCTTCGTCGTGGAGACTTGGGCATCGAAATCGCTTCTTTCCGTCACTTGCTGGTCGAGGCTAGAGACCGTCTCGTTTCCAAATCTAACACTAACAAGTGACAGATTCCTCTTTTCACCGGGAGAGCCGTCCTTGGAGGCCGTTCGCGGTCGTTGCGTCGCCGACGTTGATGCCTCCTTTAGTACTAGTCTTTGTTTGGTTGCAAAATAGCTCTCTAGGGCTTGAGAGCTTGATGAAGGACTCGCGAGAGGCTGCCGCCGATCCACGAGGTGATTGAGCGAGCCGTGTTCCCACCCGGGGGTAACCAATGGCGAGGCCGTCGTGCTCTTCGAGAGGGCCGAGTAGTCGCTCGGGCTGGTGATACTACCCCCGAGGCAGTTTTGATGAACAAGAGCCTGTCCTTGGGCGGCGAACGCACCACCGTCAACGTGGCTTCCGAACGGCGCAACGGCTCCAAAGCCAGTTGTTGAAGGCCGTCGTCGTCGAATGCCGGCCAATTCAGTTTCGAGGTTGCTATAATGCCGACAAAGAGAGAAAGAGGTGGCCATGTGCGGCGCCAGGTGTTCTAGGGAATTCCTCAGGTTGGAAGGGTACGGTATAACGGGGCTGAGGATGGAGACGATGGCAATGGGGGCTGACCGATTCCGCTTTGCTTGTCTAGGGGAGGCTTGGTCGGCTTCGGCGTTCACGTGTTGCTCGTCCCTGCTTCGCAAATGGGTCTTTTGTTCGAGCACCGTCGTATCAAGCTTGAATGACCTCGTCGGCTTGGAGAGAAGAACGTGGGTCAAGGGTATGTGAAGGACAGTCCACGAATTGTCGACGCCAATCGCTTCTGGCGGGCGCATCCCCGTGTAACTTGTGGGAGGTGAGCCAGGGTTAAAAGAGTCTTCATCGACCATGGCGTCTGTGAAGAAGGGGTTCTCCTTGGGGTCGGCGCGAACCGCGGGAGATGGAGCTGGAGATTGTGACCACGGAGACGGCGGCGCTTGTTCGTACTCTTCGTACTTTGGAGTAGGTGGCCTATGGTCGTGGTCATCCAGGGATGATGACATGGTGGTTGCCTTGAGCTTCTCGCCAGCATGACTGTTGCTCCTGACTTGTGTCGTTCCTGCAAAAATCGTCGACAACTTTGACGCAGACTCGGTACGCGGCCTCTTTGGTCTTTTGGGGTCTGCACTGCTCGCTTTGAAGCTTGATCTTGGTTCACTGGCCGGCTTGGGCTCGGGCGTGATTCTGGGAAGGTAGGGGTATGTTCGAGTCAGAGCTACAGGCCGACCGCGCTCAAGCACTCGCATAACACCGGCATGGTCGATTAAAGGGTCGGCTTCATAATCCAGGGCTTGCAGAACGGGCAGAATCTGACCCTGGCCCTCGTAGCGGGCCATGAATGGAGCTTCCCAGCTAGGAATTGCCTGCCGTGCCGCAGCCGTGGCGTCATGCTCATCTAGGGCGTCCTTGTTCAACTTGGTGTAGTCCTCATGAAGCTCTGCCACGACCCGTGATGATGGATACTGCGTCTTGCTTCGCGATAAAGTGGCCGGTCTTTTCGGCGGCGTCGTTGAACTTTGATTCGACGAATCGAGTTTGTTTTCCTCAAAGGCAGTAAACGAGTGGCGGCTTCGCAATCCGGGCCGGGGGAGCGTGAGCGTTGTAGCGGGAGAGTCCGCGGTTTTATCGTCAAGGGCAACTGCCCCGTCAGAAGCACTATTTGCCCTTGCCAGGTAGCCGAGGCTGAGCTCGTCCTCTTGGTGCTCGTTGTACGTGGCCTTTTGACCCCAGGGAACATTTTCAATATCGGTCGTGTCGGCAGGAACGGCCAGTGTCACTCGCTCGGCTTTGTAAATGTCCCTCATAATCTGCACGACTGTATTCCACCACGCATCTAGCCCCGGCTCAGCAGACAGCATTAGAGACAAATCGTAGAGGTTGGGGGAGGGGAAATCGAAACCATGAGGAATCTCAGAGGCGGGTGCTGGCGGCTCAAACGTAAAGCTGGACGCCGGCGTAGATGACTGTGATAAGACCTTGTCCAGCGAGGCGTGGTGTTGGACCGGCGATTGGAATCGTTGCCGTGGCGAGGCACTCACAGCGGGCTGGTCGTGGGAGACTGGTTTCGTCTTTTGATGAGGAGGAAATCCGGCCATTCGGGGAAAAGGATACGAGGGCGTTTGCGCGACTGCTGTCGTGGTCGTGCCGCCGCGGACCGTGTTGCCAGACTCGGTCGAGGTGGTGGTGAGAGCAGCCGTGAGCATTGGGGAACAAGAGGCGCCAGTTCCTTCTTCCCAGATGGGAGAAACTCGAGGCTTTTCCGGCTGCGTCATGAGAAGACCTTTTATGGAAAGCTCGCGGATCTCCAGGTCCCGGGCCAGCCTGGCGCGGTATTCATTGAGCTGCTGCTGTGAAGTAGCCAGAACTGTAGAAGCCGTGTCACCCCACGCCGCACCTGGAGGCGACAAGCCGGCTGCCGGTGGTGCTGCCGTCTGGTGAGCAGTGAAGGCTTCGTCGCCAGGGTATTTCCCCTCTGGGCTCTGCCACTCGCGCTGGCCCCTGCTCGACAGGTCCGAGGCCGAAGAGAAGGGGTAGCTGGAGCGGCGTTGAGCCATGCTAGTAGGTGCATGCCCAATCGAACTGTCGGCAGGGCCTACCTCTTCTTCCGCTTCTGCTGATGCAAACTTGCCCGCAATCACTCCATCTCTGGCGATGGCACTCGTCTCGGCCAACTTGCACGTCGGGGGCGATTGATGGGACGGAGACGAAGGGGACGTTGGGTTGACGGCGGCAGCCTCAATGGCAGCCTCTGCGGCAGCACGCGTCAAGTCGGGCGTCGTCGAGCCGGCGGCACAAGTCGAGTGCGAGGTGTAGTAGCCAATGTCAAGGAGAGGGTCAGGGCTTTGCATGCCTCATATAAGAGGGCTTGTGATTGGTACGAGGCCGGTTCGGTAGGCGGCAGTGTGCATGAGGTCAAGGGCGAATGTATAAACGCAACGGGGCGGTTCTGCAGAACCATGAAAAGGGCGACGATGGGGATTGCAGCTGCGTCCCTGGTGTCAGCAAAAACATGAGCTTTGGTGCAGATGAAACGTCTCGAGGTGTCGTCTTTGTCTTTTTTTTTAAAAAAAAAATAATTTTTAATTTAATTAATTTTTTTTTTGGTCCTCTGCAGTGGCTTGCACAGGCGGCGACGACAAGAGGCGTCTCCTCGTCGAGCGGATGGTGATGGTGGACTGGTGGGAGGAGGGTTGACGGACTGAGCAAGTACCTGCCTACTTCCTGGAGGTACTTGGGCCCGGTACGTACCTGACCTGGCCAGTCGTGGTGGTGACGGCAGAGCAGCAGTTCTCGTCAGTCGTGATGCTCAGGGCCAAGCGAGGGCGACGGTGTCGGGAAAATCTGTCACCGCCAAGGTCGACAGTCAGCGTGGAGTTGCTGAAGAGAATTGACGGTCAAGAAGGCCGTCCGGATAAACAGGGAACCCAGGCAGAGTGAGCAGAGGTTAGCGCAGCAGGCGAGACGTCAGACGACCGAGGGTGCACGGATGGACGGATGGATGGATGGATGGATGGACGTCACGTCACGTCAGCCGTCAAAGGTTCGAGGCGACAGAGACGGACAGACAGACGGACGGACGAGTGAAATGGAGGAGCCGCAGAAGGGCCAGTCTAGCACTGTGTGCTCTGCTGTGCTGTGCCGTGCCGTGCCCGTCGACCTGCAACGATGGTCGACGGCCTTTTGCTCTGCTTCTTTGGCCCTTGAAGTCAATGGTCAATGGTAGAGAGTCAAAAGACAGCCGAAGCCCCCAACGAGCTCGAGAGCAGCAGCGAAGCGCAGGCTGTGCGACTTTGGAGTGATGGCTCGGTTCGCTGTTGACGCAAAAAACGAACACAAAAACATGGCCACAACGTCACCGTCGGGCCAAAGGTGCGGAGTACATCCGGTACATGTACTTGCGTCCCCGGAACAACTTGGTTTTTTTCGACGCGCCAAAGGGCGCACGCAGCAAAGGCAACGACAGTGTGCATCAACAGACTATTGCCATGGCCGTCAAGACTTGACAAAAAACAAAGGGGGGGTTACAAGTGTTTAAAAGAAAAAAAAAACCCTTTATCTGCCTGCCAGTCGTTGTATTGCATTTCATCAATCAAAGGCGTCTCGTGGCCGATGATGATGCTCCCAAAAAAAAAAAAAAAAACACACACACACACAAGCAAGTACCCAGTACTTTGTCCTCGGTCGCGACAGGGCCTCTTTTTTCTTTTTTTTTTTTCTGTCTGTAACCCTGGGGAGAGACGTCAACTGCCCAAGCGGCTGTGGCCAAGAGGAGCGACAAGGGGTCACCTATGACGTATGACGTAGGTGACGGCACAGACCGGGGGCTCAATGGCCCGTCCAAGATTTCGCAGGTCCAAGGCCGTGAATTGCTCGGCGGGCTCACCCATTTTGCTCGGCGGGCTCACTGCCCCACCACGCCCCGATTTTGGTCTAGCGGCCCCGCTGCCATGCCCCACAGTACATTCTTAGTACAAATATATAGCAGCAAAATGCCCTTAATTAATCGAAAAGGTAGTTGTATAATTTATATAAATTTCTTAATAGCGCTACGCTAGCAGGCTCTAAATCGCTTAAAAACGCAATTTCTAGTGTTTTCGCTTAATATATACACAATTAGGCCGGATTTTCTAGTTATTCCGGCCGCTTAATTACCTATCTAGTTATATCTATTAGCTGCAATAGCAGCAATAGCATTAAGGGAATAAATTCCTTAATCTGCAGGGAGCTCTATCTTCTAATTAGTCTTCCTTCTGTGTTATTTATATTGCGATTTAATTAATGCAATAATAGCAGCAGCTGCTACTAGCAGCATTAATTCCTTGCAGTAGTTTTAATCTTAGCCTGCATATGCTCTCTTTAAATGCTTAGTGCTAGAGGCCTTTAAGCGCCTTATTAAGACATTTAACTTAGTTATTAGCTGCTATTTTAGCTTGTAAATTAGTGTTAATTGTCTTTTCTATTTATTGCAGCCTTCTGCTAGCAAGTTAAGACAGGAGCTAGATCGCAAATATAAAGATATAGGTTGTTAAAGCTCTAGATATTAAAGTCAGCTATAATTTCTATAATAATAAGCAGGAAACTTAAGTAGGCATTTACTAAGAGCTTTTATAGCTACTAGCAGCAATTAATTTTATTCTTCTGCAGCAGCTTAGAGATATTTTTCTTTAACAAAATATAATATATATAAGGGAGACTATATTGCTTAGTAAAACAGCCTATACAATATTATAGGTTATATATTCTAGCTTTATAAGCTTAAACAAGCTTATATTGCTTAATTAGAAGGTTAACAGCTTAGTAGGAAATCTATATAGGCAGCTTACTAAGCTATTCTTTGCAATTAATTAGATATTATTGCTTAACTTTATTATCTGCTGTTATTACGTAATAATTGCAGTCTTAAGTCTTAAGCATTTAGTTAATTCTATTTATAAGCAATAGAAAGTCACCTATTTCTATAAATAGGTTGATTTTTATAGCTCTATAAGAGACCTCTATAAAGCTGTTTGCCTTCTCGCTGAAATTTCAATATCTCTTTATAAAGCAGTAAGCCTATTATTGCTTAACCTTAAGATAAGTCTCTTCTATATAGTAGAGAATTGCAGATTACTGTAATTTATATGTATTAATTATCTAGATTTAGGTAGACTAGAAATTGTTAATTGTATTTGCATAAACTAGCATTTAAAAGGCTAAGAAAGCCTTTATTAAGCTATTATTAAAAGCTTTACTTTTTAACTTATTATATGCATTATTATTAAATTTATTGTTATTAGCAGCTTTAATCTATTTCTTATAGAAGTTGTTCTTAACGTTTAATAGAATATACTAAATATAAATCTACTGCTATGTCTTAAGCTAAATAACTTTAAGAGCGTTCTTTAGTGCTTTTTTAAAGTCTGTTATAACAACCTTAAAAGTAGGGATTTAGAGCTTAATGCAAATTTCTTCTAATGCAGCTAGCATTTAGTAATAGCCCTCCTCTCTTTTAGTTTCTATAAAGCTAAACGCAATATTTGCAATTAACTTTTAATTAGTAACTATAACAACATTTAATAGATAGAGACCCTAGCAGTTTATCTTGTAGGTATAGTCTATACTAATAAATTCTAAGAAAACCTTCTATTTTTTAATACAGAAAGAGTAGGTCTAAATAGCGCTTTTAATGCATTATTTATTATTATAGATATACTTATAAAGCAGGCCTCTCTCTTAGAGTTTCTTAATAAACTATTAAGTAGATATATAGCTAGCTAATATATCTTAATAAGCTCTTTAGCGTTAATTATAAATATCTTTAGGTTAGAAATAAAGCTCTTCTTCTTCTTTATTGCAAATTATTATACTAATGCTTTAAGGCTAAAGGCTTGCATGCTTTAAAAGGCTTATAATTTGCTGCTTTTATTGCTGTATAAATTTTTAATATATTATATGCCTAGAAGGATCGCTTAATTTCTTATAATTATAACAGCCTTACTCCTTATAATGCTATACCTAATAACTAGAATTATTAGTAGATGTCACCTTAAGCTAGTAATTATAGTTAGTTTTTCTTAAGCAAGTTTGTTAAAGTCCTAAGCCTTAAGGCTTATTATAGCTGCTATAATTACAATAAAGCCAGCCTGCCTGCAATTATTAAATGCTGTTTATTAAAGTCTTAAGCCTCATGGATTTTTTGCTAAAGGCACAACTATTTTGCCAGCTAAATGCTTGTATAGCATTATAGAGGTTATTAAAGCTGCTATAGCCCAGCAAGAGCAGCAAATTTAAGGGCGGATTTAAGGGGTTGTAAGGGCCTTTATAAGGCATCGCAATATGTATTATTAAAGGAGGAAAAATACTGCTGCCTATTAAAAAATTCGTACGGCTGCAGCATTATTTAATAATAATTTTTAGAGTTAAGTAAAGCTGCTATACCTTTATACCAAGAATGTACCGTGGGGCATGGCAGCAGGGCTTGCCGCATAAAAAGTGGGTCATAGTGGGGCAGTGAGCCCGCCGAGCAAAATGAGTGAGCCCGCCGAGCAATTCACCCAAGGCCAGGCAGGCCCAGCGTCAGCCAACGCCCGTTTCCACTGGCCAATGTTGTCCTTCCAGCCATGTCTCGCACAGGGGACCCGCCAAAACAGAAGCCACAGCCACATGCTCCTTCTCCGTGGTCAATACGTACCAGACCAGACCAAGGCCAAAAGAAATTAAATAAATAAATAAATAATAAAATCGTCTTTTCCCCCTCATCCTCGCCTCCCTGTCACCGCCAGCCCAACATCGTCAAACCGTACTCCGTACTCCGAAGACCACAACGCCGTCTACCCAGTGTACTTCGCCTCGTCTCCATAGATTCCTACTTGTTGGTTACGGCCCCTTTTCTCGGCCGCCCGAACCCCCCTTCCCCTTCCCCTTCCACCGCAAACTCCACAAATGACATACCTGGTCGTGGGTCAATGCAGTCCCGACTGCGTGTCTGTACAGTGCAATGTGCAATGCTCCGAGGATTATTATTGTCAGCGGCTGACTAACAACGTCGCTCAAGACATGCAACCCGAACCCGTTGATCTCAAGTCTGGAAGTCAGTCGTATCCCGAGCTTTGCTCTCTGCCGTCACACGAATGCAACGTCTGGGCCCGTCATGCTCCCAAGCAACCGGTCAGCGAACATATATGACAATGTGAAGAGCGTCGCCGCCCGTGGGCGTGCGGAATGAATGAAGGGGCTATCGACGATGCTGCAGACGCCGCGCCACGCGATGTGTCATCACCGTAAAAGTAAAAACTGCCCGTCATGTGGCGTCGCACCCGTCGAACGAGAGGACCGGGTTGGCGCATCTCGGAAGCTTGATTTTGCAACCCTTTCCTCTATTGATTGCCGGGTCTAGGGCCAAATCGAATGCCATTCCCAAGGGAAAGGGGGCTCCCAAGCCACAAGTAGTTAGTACCACGGCCTTGACAAGACGTACTAGTGGTGTTTTTCGGCCAACGTTGGGCACTTATTTACTACTACTACTACCAAAGTGCTCTTATACCCCTAGCACGTTATAATGCCGTAGGCGACGGGTCCGTAAAAAGAAGCTTGTTTACGGTTCTGTGTCACGACCCGACTTGAGCCCTGTCGCGGAGCATCTGAAGATGGACAGCTGCCCGCTCGGCAGAATTCAAGCCGCTTTTCTGCCAGTTGAATTTTTTAAAGTTTTTTCTTGAAAAACAAAGCAAAAAAAAAAAACAAAGCCCAGCCATGTGGTCAGATGCGAAGAAGCGTGGCGACTCTTACCAAGCTGTGCAGACCCTATTTTTGTAAGCAGCAACAAGCCAAGAAACTTTTACCAAGGCGTCCAAAAACATACTCCCTCTCAGCCCTGGCGTCCATGGCATTTACGATGGAGATGAACCAATTTCCGAACCGCCCCCACCCACCGGCCTGTTTATTATCATGCGGCTGCGCAGGATGAACACAGGAGCCAGCCGGTCCTGCGTTGGCGAACCGGGCGGCCACCAGCAATCCTAGTATGTGAGGCGCCGTCAAGACTCGAGATAATGAAGCGCCGAGTGCAGGCAACCGCCCCCGCCCCCCCAGCCGAGTAGCGCTTATCCCGGCAGCTCGTCGCGTGGTGATGCACGTCTTCCGTATACAAACGCCCAAAGGATCCAAGGTAAAACCCCCAGGCATCTTGTTCGCCAGGCGGATCCAAAACTTGACACTCGTCTGCGACAGAGCAAGCCCAAGCCGAGATGCACGACAACAACCCAGACGGGCCTTGAGTGTGTGCACGACGTGGCCTTGTCTTCCCCAGTCCGTCCGACTGGGAACTGCGACAAGTCAGAAAGGTCAGAAAATAGGGGTCCCTTGCTCGTGTTACCCGAGATACACGGGCGTCCGCACATCGCTCGGCAAGTTTCATCACAAAAGGCAAGCCCCGTGCGCGTCTTGCCGCCCACGTCTGGTGCGACACGACTGGATTTCCATTTGGTACGTAATAAGACGCTGTGTTGAGGACCCTTGGTGTTGGTGTTGGTGGTGATGGTGGTGGTGGTGGTGTTGTTGTTATTGTTGTTTGTTGTTGCCGTCCCCGATTGCCGCGCGCGTGACTCGCAAAGCTACGGCCTGCCAACCGGGGACCGGGGGGGCGCCCATTCGATGCGATAGCTCCGTACTCCGTATCTGTCTGTCGATTCAGCTCCATCGTGATTCGTGACTGAAGTGGTGGTCCACGGTGTGCTGATCAAAGCCAGGGCCCTCCGTCACTCAGGCTTTCGTTCCCTGGTTCTCCTGCCTTCCGAGCGTCGTCTCCTCGGGACGAAGCTGAAAGCCAGGTGAGGCACTCGGGTCTCGCACCAATGCTGCCGGATTGCGTCGGCGGCGCACCATTTGGCATCCTAGCTGCGTCCCGTTTGGGAAAGTGGAGCCGCCGCCGGCACGTGCCCATCATCGATGCGAATGGGGGAGTCATGGCCTCATGGCCCGTGCGCATGGGATTGTCGAAGCATGAGGGTAATACTATCAACATTTTGATGCTGGCGAGCTAGCAAAGCTAGTCGCCGAGAGTCGCACGATGCCAATGTCGAAAATCGACCAACAAGTCTCATTGCGGAATCATGCTTGTCCTGAATCGAACCACTGGCACGGTCACCGAGTGCCCTTGTGTCCCAGCTGGATAACCACCAGTTGAAGCGACCTAACCACATGTAACTAACTAGTATGTTGTATCCTCTCGGGCGCGGCCATGTCGCTGCCTCGTACTCCGTATGTTGTATTATATCTATTATTGAGGCGCTGTTTGGCCCCACACGACGTCCAATTTTATTTTTATCAGCTCTCAACATGTCAGGATTTGCCTCGTTCCGCCGCAGCTCTCGTCATCTCTGATCAGCGTGACTCTCGACTCCGTTTTCACGAGGCCACGCGGATAGAAACCATCACACGCACGCGCGCACGCATACACACCAATTACCTACGTAGCCGGAAAAAAGCGTCCGCTAGCTCCTGCCATCATCAAAACAAAGGCCAAAGGAGTATCGTGCCTTGTGTCCCTCCTGGGCGGCAGTGGAGGCAGGTCACACGGTTACTTTGAAACTCATGCCCAGATTCAAACACTTGTTTCTGTCCAGAGGTTGGCCAAGATCCTCCCACGATCTCGTCCAGTGCAGCTGCTCGAGTGCAAACCAGTCGTGCAAGTGGCTCCATTTCTCGGGACGATTCAGACTCGACGCCCGCCCGTGAGTTTGGTCTTGCCCGGGTGCCATGCCCGGACTGTCAGCGTGTACGTGTGCTTCTCTGTAGATTTGCGAAAGGCATCCGCTGGACATGTGGTGAGGGCACTGACCCGTTAGCTGTGTCAATGGCAAACATTCATAGACAAAGCGAGACAAAGCGAGACATGGGAAGGAAAACGGGGCAAGGGAAGCCCATGACAGACAGCACACTCACCCCCAGAGCATGTCCAACGCGAGCCGTGATACGTCCAACCTCAAATACGGCGTCTTTGCCGTCCTCTTGCGCAAACACATCCCTCATCAGCTGCGCGCCAACAAAATGGCCAAAATGTCGCTGGACTCTGCCGACGCAGTGCTCGTCCCATCGAGGGCTCGGCTCGAGCTATATGTCGTCCGTCAGCGTCATCCCCATTCTTCGCGACGGAGCCTGATACAAAGTCCGTGTGTCCCACGACGTGATGGAGAGACTCACCACAGGAGAATGAGCATGCTTAAACGCTCTCCACTCCTTGGCCCACGACATGTCCCACAGCTCTTCTGTCTGCAGAAACGCCTGCCACATCATGTACGTCCTCAGCGTTTCCCTGGAGAAGCCCCGCAACACCTGCCAGTATTTCCGGAGCGAGTCTTGGAACAAGACGTCCACGGTGGCGATTTTCTCTTCCTCGCCGTGCGCCATGGTGAGGAGGATCCCGTCGAGGCGGAGAGGGTTCGTCCTGTTCAGTTCCTCAAGGGTCACGCTTTCCACGCTGTGCTTATACGGGCGTCAGTCGCTTCTGATGGCGGATTTTTTTAGAAACGAGCATACACGTACCCTCATGTCTCGCCATTGCTTGTCCGAGGGGAGGACGGTGTGCAGCGCTTTTTCCAGGTTGATGATGTTCATTGAGAGCTTGTACATGTCTTGGACGGTAGGGGCCCAGGGCCCGTGGAGTTTAGGAAGGACTATGTCGAGCATTCGTTCGTAGCGCTTGAGGATGCTGGGGAGCTTGTAGAGATCCGGGTCGTCGAGGCCGGTTCGGGGGTGGGGTGCCACGATGGGCCCTGTCCGCGTCTGCTCATGATGAGTTCTCTTTCCTTTCCTTCTTTCCTTCTGTTTGCTCCCCTGCCCCGTTGCTTGTCCTCGGCGTGGGCGGGGATCAGACGTCACATAGGATGTATGGGAAGACTCACGTGGTCCTTGTACGAAACTCCAACTCCAAATTTGAACAGCGGAAAGATGCCGTAGCGTCCAAGATTCAGCATTGCTCTGTTTGCTCCTTGCGCGTCGATGACGTCGACGGGCCGTGTTGCGTCTGCTGTCCGCCGCCACGTGTCTTGCTGGTCGCCGTGTGTAAAGACAGACATGTGGTCCAGGGCGTTGAAGGGGCGTCTGACCTCCTCCATGAGGTCAAGGAGCACGGCATAGCTAGTTTCCGGGTCTCTCGCGTTCATGCAGGTGTCGAAGTAGCTGTGGACCATGGTCCAGAGGTCGGCTGGCCTCGGGCCCGGAGGGAGCGTCGCGTTGAAGGTGGTATTTCCGTTGGGGGCTGCCGTGGTCCAGGGGCGGTCTTCGGTGAAGCTGTTACTCGAGGGGGCGTGGATTGTGCCGTTGGCCATTGTGTCTCCGTCCGCGGCGGCTGAATTCCGCAAGGCGTCATGGCGAGACGTGGGGATGGCGGCACTCTTGTCGGCAGAGAGTTCCTTGGAGAAGATGGATTCAAGCAAGGCGATGTCTTTGTCGGAATAGTTGCCGGTGCTGGAGGTAATTTTGACTCCGGGAGATGACGTCTCACTCTGATACGAAGGATCAATCATCGAGTGCACTGTTTCAAAGAGCTTCTGGACAACGCCCTCTATGACGACCACGGGGCCATCATCGCCTTGGTGGCGGGCAAAGTGATGTCCACAAACGACTGCAACGCAATGAGCTCACGCGCGCGCATGTTGGAAATCAAGAAACGCATACAACTTACATCTCGCCCATTTGTAGCAGCAATCGTTCGGGTTGACTTGGTTCCCCAGCGACTCCTGCAACAGGCTCCAAAAGTTGTTGCAGTCGGGAGCGATGCATGTGCCATTCGGGGGGCTGTAGGCGTCTTCATAGACATGCAGCAGATCCATGGCTGTTCGTTTCTTCTATTCCAGGTAATGGATTCTGGAATGAGAGGGTTTATCAGATGATAATGACGAGCGGGAAAGGGAAAAGACGTGCATTTTGATGGAGTACATGAAGCGAAATAACATGTGCAAAGCATACAAAGGGGAATAAACTTTTAGTCTTCTTTTCCACGCCCACTAGGTGCAAAGTTAGGGCATTAAGACGTAATGCCGCCACATGATATCCTAGCTATACTAAGTAAGGGATGAGAAACCTACACTGGAGAGGTTAGCAAACACACGCAAAACGACGCCATTCCACATAGTGCCGTACATTTCAAGGTTGTGCTTCCGAAATTGACAGATAACTCGCGCCGCGCCTGCCTTCTCCCCTCCCCCCCCTTTTCATGGAACGACGGTGCTTAATCAGTCGCACTGTCAGAGTCATTGACAGGGCGCTCGTTGCGGGGATGCCTGAGTCCCATCTTTTGCTTCTGGATCCTCGGAAACACGCCCATGACAACAAAGACGGCGCCCAGAGACGTCGTCCAGAAGCTAAGGCGCAACACCGATTGCACGTAGTCGGTGAATATGGCGCTCACGACCGTGGCCAAGAGCATCAGCAGGACAAAGTAACCCACGTACCGGTGGTACTTGTACAGTGACTTGGCCCGTTCCTCGCCGCCGTACAGCCGCGGCGTAAGCCACATGGTGAAGCCGACGACGTACTGGCCGGCGAGCAGGGCGAGCGTAGACACGCCCAGGAAGGCATGGGCGACGTGGAAATGCGGGCTGCCGCTGCGGAACTTGTTGACTTCGATGAAGACGATGCCCGTAACGAGGGCCGCAAAGGCGAGCAGGTTGAGTGCAGCGTGGACGTATTGGCCGACGCGCTTCTGGTCAGGCGTGTCGCCCGAGATGGGCTGCTGGACGAGGACGGACTGCGTGAGCGTGAATTTGGCGATGGACATGGCAATTGGGTGGCCGGAGAAGAAGATGAGCGGGCTGGAGGAGATGTGTGCCCAGAGGTCGGCGCAGAGGATGATGACGCCGAGCTGGGCGAGGATGCCGGTTCCTATTTTATTTATTTTGACGTCCGTTAGCTGAGGGGTTTTGACGAGACTTCTCTCGGGGAGCGTTTTCGCTCCATCTAGCTGCTTTCCTGAGCGTGGCAGGCCAGGGTAAAAGAGTCGTAGCCGGTGATACGGAATCAGGCTTACCAATCACAAGGGTCCTCATGATACTCGCTCCCGCGGGCAAGACTGCGTCCCCGGGTTTCCCAAGAAGTGGTTCCGCCTCAGACGCGACGATGGACTCGCGTGCCGGTGGCCGCGGGGGAATGCCTGTTGCGCTCGCCATTCTATCTACTGGGGGTTTGGGGGTCTTCTTGTATCGGTTTGCTTTGTCTTTCTTTTGGGTGCTTTGCTCAGTGTAGGTGCTGGTGCAAACCTTGCTGGCCGAACTGGTCTGTATTGAAGCTAGTCTGGAGTGTCCGGAGTAATGATGTGGCGGGGGGCAGCGAGGAGAAGACACTAGCGGTTCGGGGTTGATCGAGGATGTCGTGGACGAGGGAAGCAATGGGAAAACATGGTCGGGAGTTGCAAGGCCTTTTGGTTGATTTGGATTCCTTGTCGGCCGCATGGGTGACGGCATGGAGTCGTCGTGGACTGGTTGGGGCCAAGGGAGCTTACAGTTTCTCGGCACATGACTGGCTCGATTTGCGTGTGGCATGACGGGAGGCGCGCCCCCGCCCCCGCGATTCATTGGTGAGTGGTGGAACTGCAATGCACGACGCGCAATCTCGTCTGGCACAAAAGCCCTGCACAGTGCAGCGACTGTGGTTCGGAGCTCGGCGTGTCAGATCCAGATCCTGTGTGAATACAGACAGCCATTCTGCTTGTGCCGAACCCGTGCGCCGAGGTCAGTCGTCTGGATTGTACAGGGCACACAGCTCATGCAACTGGTTCGAAAAAAGATGCATTTCGAGTGGATTTGCCACTCAAAAGCAATGGTCGAGATCCATGCTCGAGGTCAAGGCAGCTCACGTGTTGGACCTAGTGCCGATGAATGCCGGCCCAGGCACAGACTGTTGACACTCCGCAGGCAGATTGAACGAGCACAATAAAACACAAAACATGAGGCTGCACGAACGTGCCGCCCCTTGCACGCGCGAGGGCAGTCGTTTATTTCGCAGGCCACTGGAAGTTAAATTGACGGGCTGCTTTGGCTTTTGACCTTTGGCTTTTGGCCTTTGGCTTTGTGCCGTGGAGTCGGTCCTCGAGCCCGGGCGGCGCACGGACCAACTTCCAGGCGAGCGAGAGCCTGGCTGGCCAAATGACGACGTGCAGCGGCGACAGGACATGGGCCTTGGCCTTGGACTCGACCTCATCCGCTCGCCGGTCGCTTGCGGACAACGTGCACCACGCACCACCTGCCATCATCACTCGGCCGCAGAGAGCCCATGACGACGCCCACGACCACCTCAGCACGCCGGCAGTTCTTCCTCTCCATCCATCCCAACTGTGCTGCGCCCTCCGTCTGTCACCGAGCGCAGCCCAAGTTCCATGGGCTGCCGAGTCTGGTCTTGCCCCTCCACCTTCGGCCATGGACTCGGAGCATCTGAGCAGTAATGGCAACCCCAAGCCACGAGTCATACCCGCCGACCTCCCGACCTCGCTGGACGACCGAAGACATGCCCCGACAGAAGACTACATCCCCGAGACCGAGATGTACGATGGCTGGCAAGGTGAGTCGTCTTGGGAAACAAAGCCGCAACAATCAAGGAGCGCCCCGCGCCGAGCAGCCATGTCTGACAACCCCTACCCTTCCAGGTCAGTCACAGTTTCTGACAACGCCGGCACTGGCGAAACCGTTGAATTTCGGAAACCTGTCGCTGAATGACGACGGCGACTATGAGCGACGTGTTTCCGACCCCGCCAAGGACAGCGACACGCGACTCATGGAGATGCTGCAAGCCCAAGCAGCAGCTCACCAGGCCGGCCACGGGCTCGAGGATGAACAGACTATTCTAAATGATGACAAGCTGTCCGATTCTGCAAAAAAGGACATGCTACAAAAGGCAATAACCATGGCAGCCAGCAATGGCGACGTCGCCAAAGTCAAGAGACTGCTCGACGGAAATGTCCACTCAATGATCGATGTCAACGCCGCCGACGAGGATGGCACACCTGCTTTGATATACGCGAGCTGTTTTGTAAGTAACATGACTGCGGCTTTTTTTTTTCTGGCGTTTCACACAACAACGACCACAACTGATAGTACCCGCCCTAATGCTGAATGAAATAGGGTCACGAAAGTGTCGTCAAGGCCCTCATCGACGCCGGCGCCGACGTCAACAGACAGGACCGGAATCAGTGGAGCGCCCTCATGTGGGCCATGACGAACCGGCACAAGGGAATTGCGAAAATGCTCCTGGATAATGGTGCATCGTCGGACCAGAAGACGTCATCTGGCCGCACAGCCTTTGACTTTGTTCCCCCCGACAGCGACATGTCTTTCTATTTGCACGACAACGGCTACAACATCGGGAACGCCGGAATGGGAGACGACTTTTACAACCCGGGCTTCTCGCAGGACCGCTTTGAAGAGGAAATGGCAGAAAATGAAATGCGCAGAAGGTTGATGATGGACAGTGCCAGAGACTTGGAGGTCGATTTGGGCAACGTGGGAATCGACGACCAGCCCGAGGTGCGTGTCACGCCGAAGGACAAAGGAAAATCATTACGTCGTTTGTTTGCCCGTGTACTGACCTTGCACTAGCCGGCCGACGAGTTTGAGGAGGAGCAGCAAGAGTTTGACTGGAGCCGCTGCTTGCATGACCAAATGTTTGTCTTTCAAGAACACGAGCTTGACCGGATACTCGACATCATCATCACCAAAATGACTCCCCAGCGCTCGCCGTCGCAGAAGCCCGTGCCGGCCAACATGATATTCCTCAGCGCAAGATACGCGCATTACCACGCCAGTCCGGAGCTGCTGGAGAAGCTGCTCGTTACCGCCATGGACCTGATCAATGACGTGGTCGAGAGGTGTCAGTGGGACATGACAATACTGGCGTTCTGGATCTCCAACGCGACCCTGTTATTACATTACCTGAAAAAGGACGCGGGCCTTGTGGAGGCGACGGCCGAATTTCAAGCACACCTCGCCGAACTCATCAATGAAATTTTCATCCTCATTGTCCGCGACGCCGAGAGACGCCTGGACAAGGTCTTGGATGCCGCCATGCTCGACCACGAAACGATACCAGGTTTCGAGGACATTACTTTCCAAAACGAATGGAAACTTTTCAAGCGGAAACAGACAGTCAAGGAGGAGCCCCTGGAAAGGAGGTTCAGGCCGCCTTCACCCAAGCAGCGCGCAAAGCCGGCGCCGCGAAACGTCAACTCGCTCCTCTCCTCTACCCTCTTCGTGCTGGACCTGTACGACATCCACTCGGTCATCACCGCACAGATCGTTTCGCAACTACTGTACTGGCTCGGCGCCGAGCTGTTCAACAGAATAATGTCCAACCGAAAGTACCTGGCGCGAACCAAGGCCATGCAAATTCGCATGAATGTGTCGATTCTCGAAGACTGGGCGCGAACGAATAACCGGCAGGCAGAGCATTACGAAGGCGGCGACACGAGAGCCTCTGGGGAGACGGTCATGGACGCGTCCCGGCGCTTTCTCGCTCCCGTCATCCAGCTTCTTCAGTGGCTGCAGTGCTTCTCATCCCTCGACGCAGACGACCTGGAGGCGCTCGTGGGCACACTCCAACAGTTGAAAAGGCTCACGCCACAGCAGCTCATACATGCAGCCACCCACTACCGGCCTGAAGTGGGCGAAAAGGGGCTCCCCAAGAGCGCAATGAAGTATCTCGTCGCGATCCAAAAGGAAGCTGCACTCAAGCGAGACCGGCGGCGCAGCCGGGCGGCGTCACCGCTGCCCAAAACGGGACACGACGGCAGCAGCCCCACGACACCCGTCAAGGGCAGATCAAATGGCAGCAGTGTGCTCGACACCCCTGGGGCCGTGTTCAGTCCGGCCAATTCTGAGGCCAACGGCGCGTCAGATGACGAGGGCGACGCACCCGAGCACCTCCTCATGGACCCCGCGCTGATGCTGCCATTCACACTGCCATCCGTCACAGACATGCTGGTCTCGTACGGCGCAGGCTTCGGAGGTGTCGACAGGGAACGGGAGCGGAAATATATTCCCTCGGTTCCCGCCGAGTTTTTGGACAGGCTTGAAGTCAGCGGTGTAAGAAAGGAACCAATGTTTGAGGACAAGGACTGGGAGAATGAAGAGGTCTAGGTAAATCGGAAATGAAAGAAGTGGGCAACGGCGCAGAAAGCGCCTACCTCGTAATCGAGACTTTAGCATGCCCCAATGTTGGTTGCTACCAGTGCACAGCGCATCGTGTACGCAAGTGACCTGTTCGTGTTGCGGGAGAATGAAGTGATTGTCTGTCAAGACGTCTGCTTCCAAGATCAAAGCGTCTATGTCATGGTAAGCATGCGTCTGTCCGCTTTCCTCAGGGGAAACGGACCATGAACACGAGACATGCTCGTGCTGTCAACGGCAACGACGGAAGCAGTCGGCCGACTGCGGTCATTGCTGACCTTGACCGAGAGTCGGTTCGGTACCTCTGGTGCGCGCTCGGCAGTACTGATGTATAACCGCACAGTGGCTCTTCAACTGTTCGATCTGACACGCAAGCTGGACATTGCTTCACAAGCCAATTCCGTCGCCCCAAATTCAACATCTAGCGGCACTGTGACGCGCCAACAGCGGCAGTAGCACGTCCGGAGACCATGGCATCATTGAACTGCCCGTATCGATTCTCTCTTTGCGTGAGGCTCCTTGTCACTGTCTGTCCTCGGCTCTAGTGTCCTGGGACACCCCGTCGTTCGTTTTACTGAAACTGTGGTGTCTTCTGACACATGGCCCGGCCGACGCTGTGAACACATGAGCTCGCTTTCCCACTGCTCCTGGGCGCCTGTGTGGTGTCCTACCAGACTGCTTCCCTGGCACTGTTTGCTATTCAATAGTATCCAAAGTGTACTGTAGTCCATGTATATACTAATTAGTAGAGTATAGGATAATACATCTTGGCATAGATTGGTGAGTCAACTTGTCTGCGCCTTGCTGGCACGAGCTTGAGCCCGATGAATTCCATTGCATTCACGGCGCATCTCTTCAGACAGCCGCAACCGATGTCAGCTGTAGGTGTCGGCGAATCGACGTTGTGTGAGTTGCTCCGATAGGCGATCGACGCCGAACCCACGCGACACGTGCCGGATCGGACGGCGGGGGTCGATTCCGACGGATTCGACATCGACGCAGAGGACTCAAGAGATAACGCCGGGGTGGCAGCCAATCTTCAAGGCGTCCGAGCGATATAGAGAGAAGAAGCCATCCATTGAGGGGTAGCGCAAGGCACTCACGTCGACGAAGCTCCAAGAAAGATTTCCTTAGCTCGAGACGACTGCATCCGAGATTGGACGATACGTGGCCGAGGGAGAAGGCCCAAAGTCCTGGCGGGGTCGGCGAACAGCCTGGTTGAGGCAAAAAGGGGTCCTCGATCCGGGTCCGTCTGGTGGGCGTGATCCAGACAAGGCAGTCGTGAATGTCAACCTCGTCCGGCCCTTCGAGACACGATCGCCGACGCCGCCGCTTCCTGGCGGGCAAGAAAGGGTTAATCTAACACAGCTCGGCGTTAAAGGTCCCTGCGGGCCAATGCTTGTGTTTATGCAGCAGCCTTGTGCCTGGGTCTTGTGACCGTAGCCCTTGTGTAACTGCCATCCGTGCGACACTTGGAACTACCGTGGCTCTCTGCTGCAATGTCCCAAGTTACTTGCATCCTCGCTCTTCTCCATGGACACTCCTGCGCTTCTATAGCCGCATTTGGAAGTGTGGAAGACGGCAGACATGTAGACGTCCTGCGCTGGCTTCTCAACTGCCATCATGGTGCGTGAGCGGTTCCTTGTTGGCGGGCAGATTGTGTCGTGCCGCAAAGTTCAACGCAGGCGAGCGAGCCGCGGCGCAAGTGAAGACACGTCACGTGGCCTGCTTGGGCACGGCTACCTCGGCCGCCATGCATCCTTACCGCCATTCTATTCGCATCAGGATCAACGATGCGCCTTGGTCCGGCAAACCAAGCTGGTACTCCGTACGTTGGCCGCTCATCACATCCTTGCCGTGACTTACCTCTGCACCTTTTCGACACATGCACGTCTGCGACTTGCACCGTCGTGATTGCAACCCCGCATCGGCCCGGCCCGGCCCGGCCCAGCGCCACGATCCGACCAGTCGCGTACTTCCATTGGCCTGTACTTGTCCTTGTGTGCAATATTCAAGCTGCATCAGGCCTTCTCCTGAGAGCAGGAATGATTTGTACCCGCTCGAGTTTGGTTCCCTCTGTGATGTTTGAGACCCGGCAGCCAACCCTGCAGCAGGGAACGGGAATGGTCTCATCATGGGGGCCATCGACTGTCTGACTATTGCAGCCGCAGATAACACGACGCGTCCGCAATCCCACCTCGGCCGAGTGTTTTACCGCCACAACCGACATGAACAGACGAAGCCGATGCGCTGACGCGGTCAAGTCCACAACGGCAACTTATCTCTGGGAGATTCCGGAAATCAAAAGTTGTCAAGCCCTGGCTGGAGCAGGAAGAGCTCATAGGGTGTACAAGAGCGCCCATCCCAAGCCGAGCATCTGCGCGATACCCTAGACTGCTCCATCACTGGCGACTAGCCAAACAATTGGAACAACATACTTCTGGTCGCGTTGTTGTGTTGCGAGACCGTCACTGTTCGTCGCCGTTGCCCGGGCAGGGAAAACCAGTACGACTATGTACGTGCTTTGATTCCCGGGTTCCAAGGCGGACGCGTCCGTGTTGGGTGAAATTGGCGGCGACGCAGGCCAAGAAATCGGGCTTCTCTTCACGGTTGTCACGACATGGGAGCAGCCACAGATCCGCGATGATGAGCATTTTCCCGCACGTGCTTTGCAGATTCGAGCTGGCTGCGTGACCAAAGGCACCTGGTGCAATGCAGGTTACCTACCCGGCATCGCGCCCTCTGGCATGGCGATTCACGGGACTGGCCCATGAGTCCGGCCGTCTTTGGCTTGTGGCGCCTGGCAGGAGAACAAGACATTCAGGCCGCTTTGCGCCGCATTTCCAACGAAAAAAAGGGGGGGGGGGGGGCGCGGCGCCGATCAGACAATGCGGGCGCCGGCTGACGGCGAGGCGCGTTCGTAATCTACAGATCGGCGGTCGCGATTGCAATATGCTGGCATCCCATTTGCTTCTCAACTGCGGTCGACTGCGGTACCGCCCAACGTGGCAGTCAACACCAGGACGCTTGGGCACTCGGGGGAACAAGAGGGCTGGACCAAACACCGACGCTCCGCGCGTCCCTTGCAAACCGCAACGCAGGCTCCTTCGAAAGCCGCCCCGAGAGATTCTCACGTCGAAAAACCGCTCTGTGCGCTTGACCAGGTTCGAGGGCCGTGATGGCGTTTTACTAGCCGAGCTCTCGCATCAACTTGTCACTCAACAGCATTCAGACGGGATGAATGTTGACGAACAATGCCCGAAAGCGAAAATCATCTGCTGCCACGGCAACGGCTCAAGGGAAGTGGGAAGTGGCAACGATGGACGCGACGCGCCCGTGCTTTACCGCGCCGCGATGGTTGGCCTTTGGATTCAGTCGACGGCCGGCGGCTGAGTCTCAAGTTTTGCAGCCAACATTCATGAAACGACGTGGTGTTCGAGATGCCGATAAGAGTGCCTTCAGAGGCGAGACTATTCTAGAATTCTCAGATTAAGATAGGTGCCAGGCTGTACGTGCCTGCGGAAGCATCGGTTTGATTAGATGACGTACATGCAGCAGCTTGACTTATCAGGGGCATCGTGTTCCTGGCCGATGGCAGTAGTACTAATAATAAATACACCGATGCCTGTCCTGCATCGGTTCATGACAAGGGCGCCCGTGTCGAACTAAGCGGTAGGAGTATGGGGGAGCCGTTTGCAACTGCCGGTTCCTCGGGCTGCGTCTGCGTACCTTGTCTGGTGCCTGGGGCTACACCTTTAGCATCATGATAGTACGTATTCATTCATTACAGATGCTGCAAATTACATCCTAAAAGAGAGGGCATCGTCAACTGCCCCGCCTAGGCAAGTTGGAACGCGATGGACTACACGCTTTATCCAGCGGCATCACTATCATAAAGGTCTTCAAAAAAAGATTGATTCAAGTCGAAAAGCTTCAGAAGATGTGACAAGAGCTCTTTCTTATTACAACAAGCTTAAAGAGGCTATTCAGCAGTACGGAGTCCCTCCTGAAGATATCTGGAATATGGATGAGACTGGCTTTCGTATTGGAATGGGAAAGGACCATTTAGTTGTTACAAAGCGAAGAAGAGCGCATCTATTTTCAATGCCAGAAAACAGGGAGACTGCAACAGCAATAGAATGCATTTCTGCTGGCGGCAAAGTTATTCCTGCCTTTCTTATCCTTACAGGGCAAAAACACATGGAGTCCTGGTATCGGATAAAGGAGCTTGAAGCTAATACCAAAATAACAGTCTCACCAACCGGCTTTACGAATGACGAAATTGCAGTTGCTTGGATACAGCATTTTCAGGAATTTGCAACGCCAATAGGCAGATATCGCCTTTTAATCCTAGATGGCCACGGATCACACCATACAATTGAATTCGTTGAATACTGCGAACAGCACGATATAATTCCCTTTGCGTTGCCCTCGCACCTTACACACATCCTTCAACCTCTTGATGTTGTGATATTTCAGCCACTAAAGCATTATCATGCAAAGGCGTTGGATATCATTGTTCGAGACGGCGTGTTGAATATTACAAAGATTGAATTCCTTGCTTGCATTCAAGCTGTACGAAAACAAGCTTTCAAGACTACTACTATTCTCACAGCCTTTCGAAAAACTGGAATTTCACCCTACAATCCACAGCCTGTAATTGAGGCCCTTGAACAACGAGCTGCAATTTACACATCAACACCATCGCCGCCGCCGTTATATCACAACAACTCTTCCGACTTTGAGACGCCCACAACACTCAGGCAGATAAATAAGGTTGCCAACAAGCTAGGGGAGGTATTAGAAGACGATACATCCCTTGAGCCTGAGTTTGCACGCAATATCAGTCGTTTTATCCGCGGCTCTCTTATTGCAGCTACTGAGCTTATACAGACGAAGAGAGACCTTGGGCGTACAAAAGCAGCTCAATTACTATCACAGCGACGTAGAGCTCATAAATATCACGCCCTACAAACTGGTGGCGTTCTTTCTGTGGATAACGCGCGTGAGATGGTCAAGCAAAACGAGAATGACCGCCTTGATACTGCTCGTCGGGTTGTTGAGGCAGCCGACAAAAGGCGCCACAACCACGCCAAGAGGACGTTTTTTGAAGCAGCTAAAAAGGCACGTAAATGGCGTCTGGATTCTGTACTAGATCTACTAGAAATTTGGGACGAGAAGGGTGTACATTATAGGCGAAGAGGTTAATAGCGTTATTAGGTTGAAAATTGGCCCGCCTTGGTGTCCGGCCCGCCTTGCTGTCGAGCACCACCTTTGGTGGTGAGGGCTTTTGCTAGCCGAACCACATAAAGTGGGGCGGGCACGATTAGTACTACTACTAGTAGTAGAAAAGGGGCCGGGATGGATGCCGGGGAAGTAAGAGACTTGGCAAGGTGGCCACCGTAGGGGGCTGTGGGAAACCCTTGCCCTGGTGTTGGGTTCTCGTAAAGACGGCCGACTTCAGACGGACCCTTGAGTGTTTGAACTTTGGAGTCTCTGTGCAGAGCATATCGTGGAGGTTGGGCAGCCCAGGATCTGGGGGGCGCCGGACGCAAAGCCATGACCTTTGCAACGACTGTGAGGGCAGTACGGAGTAGGCACCTCTTGTGCGTCTTGCCATCAATCATCAGTTGACCCTCACGAGGAAGCACAGGTGGCACCAAGGCGGCTAAATCAACGCAGCAGCCCGGGACGAGAGCGCGCGGTCAAGTAGACTAGCAGCGCTCCATCCAAAGCCATCTGCCAGCGATCCGTGGCGACTACTAATCAGTCCTGTCCGTCGAATAGGAGAATAGCGGCGGCAAAGAGGGTGACTTGGTTCGTACTTGGCGTGGCTGGAGTCGCATCGTCGCCAATTTGCTGCACCGTGGTGGCACATCGTGGCCGTCGGGAGAGTGTTGACATGTTGTTCTAGGCGTTCTAGAGCCTGGCCTAGCCCGGTTTGTCGCTATTTTTCTTCTTCTTGGCGACGCCTCGCTGACGGGGACGCCCAAGTGGTGGTAATCCGATTTTCTTTGCCATTGCTCGTGGTGTTGCTTTCGCCCACTTGAGTCGGCAGGAAAAAGAAAATTCATCCGGACGAAACCTTGGCCGGCTCGTCACTAATCGGGTCCGTGGGACCTGGCCCCGATCGATAAACGAGTCAATTTCCCCAGCCGCAATCGAAAGGTCCGAACCTTGAGGTGCTTCTTCCCACGATGTTACGCACTACAGAGTAATCAAATCATTCCTTCCTCAGTCTCACTTCCTTGCTTCACTCGCACGGCAACTCTGCAGCAGTGTCTTGTGCCCCTTTAGCTCTCAGGGAGCAACTAAGTATCGGTCAGTATGTGACCAAGTGATATCCGACAGGTTTGCCATCTTCCCACCACCACCACCACCAGCAGCAGCCCGTTGCCCGCCTATTGGCCCGGCGAGACCGCGAATTGGGCCCCGTGGTGCGCAAGCGGAGGGCAAACGAGGGTTCTTGGTGGCATGGCGGGTACCTTGCAGGAGGTGTTGGCTCGTGAAGGATTCTTGCTAGCACATGATTTTGTTCTTGTGTCGTCCGGGGCCCCTCCCTCGGATGACTGGGGTCTGGGACTGGGACTGGGATGCGCGCCGAGTCTCTGCAAACGTTTACAGATGGGATGAGCGATGCGCAGGCTAGGCTGCCCGTGGTCACTGGTGGCGTTTCCCGTCCCGGACCGCTACCAGTCTCCTTTGGCTAGTGTAACAAGAGATTGAAAGGGGAGCCATGCGCATAAACACCATTTTGGTGGTGGCCAGCCCGGTGTCTGGAGTTGACGGGAGAGGCAGGCGCAGGAACTTCCCCGTTGGTGGGCTGCGGCCTGCATAGGCCCTTTGACAATGCTCCTCCAATAAAATACGGCCAGGCCAAGACGTAGTCGATGCTTGCGTAGGAGGGGAGGGGAGGGAGGCCAGGTGCGGAGGCTTGCTTCCTCCGTCGACGGACTGCGGAGACGTTGTCGCCCAGAAACTGGAGTTCGGCCGCTGGGAGAGAAGCGGCTTTTTTTGTCTCCTCGTCAGCCATTTAGTGATTCGGTCACGGTGATGGCAACATGTGGTGGACTGACCAACCTTGGGGGTAGATCGAGGCGCTGGCCAGAGGCTGAGGACGGGACGATGCGGCGTGCGTGCGTGCATCTGGAGTCTGGGCGTGAACTTGACCGAGCAGCTGCTTCAAGTGCTCTCTAGTTACTTGGGCTTTGGACTCGGCCACCCGGCGGCCTGTGATGTGGCACTCGGTGGGTGGCAGACGGGGACCTGGCAGCGCTCAGTGGCCACATGCATGTAAAGCTCGGCCCGTCAGGCGCTCGCCGCCAGGAACGGCGGTACTACTTGGTTGGGTACTTGGGCGGCAGTATCCTCTGCGCCCGATCGTCAGGTACCGCCGGCCACTGCGCGCGGCGTTGCATCTGATCTGGACGCGCCAAGTGCCAAGTGCTCCCCATTGCATTGGATTTGTCGACGAGTCACTCGCGACTTTGGATACAAGATGATAATCAACGCTGTGACCGAACTGCTCCCAAGACGCATGCGTCGTCCAGGTACCGGTTCTGAAAAGGTACCTACCCAAGACGCCCAGGTCCACACAAATACCGAGGACGTGGCCCGTCGTTTGTCCCGAGTCCTGACTCCTGGACTCCCGGCAAGCCTTCATTCAGGCCGTCCTTCTTGTCCCTCCCTCGGCCACGTTGGTCCATCTCATGAGCATCTCTTGGATGCAGACGATTCCCCGGGCCCAACTTTTCCGTCTCACCTGTCCTGGTGCAGCCGTCTGACTCTGATGGCCTGTTCCCGCCGTGTCCGTCGCCCGATAGATTTGTCTCACATTTCAATGCACCTTGATGCGCCAAGTGCTGAATAATGTTAAAGAGACGTCGAGTCCCCCGGACACTCTCACACAACGACGGATTCAGATTTCGGATGCGCGCTCCCCCTTCTCTTCCCATTGCCATCATCTTGGTTGCCCGAAATCTTATCTTGAAACGAGACGCTCGACTAGAGAGCCTCTCGCCCTAATGTCCGTTGTCGCGTATGCGCATGCGATACATACACATCATCATCATCATCACACTCGCACCTGCACCCATGTAACTACAAAGGCCGCGCATCAGGCACACATACACATCCACCACGTCAACACGTCTCCGCCTATATTAGACCACGAGACCGACTGTCTCTGAAAAGCGAGGGCGGCGGTGGTATATTGGTCCAGCCATTACTGCAGCTCCGCTTGCCAGCACACGAGTCCGCGTACACGCATCGATCCTGTTGCTCCCAAAACTCGCCGAACCCCAAATCCGCTCACCGCAACCACGGCAGATAGTCGCGAGGCCTGCCTGCCACTGCCAATAAGCGGGTCACTTGCCCGGACGCCTCCTCCCTTCCTTCTTGGTTGGGCAACACTGCCTCTGAGCACTCCGAGAAGGCGTTACCACGCCGCGCCTTCCTTTATTTACGTCTCGTCCTCGCAGTCGCATTCCTGCCCCGTCCGTCCCCTTCCTCACTCGAGACATTACAATCTTGGTGCGATTCCATCTTCCCCCTTTTACTCGCTTTGCATCAACGCCTTTGCTGCAGAGCCGGCACCAGCTCTTCCACCCGCTACCGCTGCGCCCTGTTCTTCGCGTCGCCAGCAGGGAACCTGCCTGTAGCTTTTCATTCCCTCGTTTGGTTCGGCAGTCCGACTCTGGTCTCCACCCTGGCCGGATCGCTACACACTCACTCATCGGTCTATTACCGCCACACAAGAGTCCGGTAAACCAACGTCCCCGAGGCAAACTCGCCTAGCAAGCGGCGTAGCAACGGCCCATCCTGAAAGAAATCAGACGGCAGCCACAGGAGAGAGATATCGGCGAGCGCATTCCGGCCCACTCTTTTCTTTTGCATTTTTAGCATGTTGCCGGCGAGGTTTGCCTCTGTGCGGCAGAGAAACCGCTCTGGCACGGGCCGGGCTCCCTTTCGGGATGACACAAATGTTGTTGGCTTTCGATACGAGAAGACCAAGCCCGCAGAGCCTCCGGTCCCCCTGCCACCACCAAGGAACCCCCTGCGTTCGCCAAGCTCAGTCAGCATTGCAAGATCACATACGACCACGGCAACGAATATATCGCGGTCCACCTCGACTTCATCCGCCGCTACCTCGCGCTCAGTGAGCCCCGTGGTTGTTGCACCGCCCGCCTTGGCCTTCATGCCCTTTATTGCACCGCCCACAGAACAACATCCGGCATTGCGATCTCCGCTGCCTGCCAGCGCCTACGCTTCCGCGTTGGGCAACCAGGACGGGAAGCGCGACTCGGGACACGCTGGGACTACAGCGTCAGATAGTGTGATCCACGAGGAAGACTGCGAGGATGACTTTGGTGACGACGCTGCAAAACGACAACAACACGACCTTTGCTCAGACGAGATGCGCCAGCTCGAGCGTCACGGCGCCGTGCCAGAAGCAACCAAACGCGTTGACAGTAGGGCCGAGGGCCGAGCGCTGGTGGGGGCTCCTCCGCCTGCCGGGGCTGCATTGCCAGGACCCCGTGCATCAGCCTTCGCAAACTCTCCCTCAACAACACAGACAGACATCAATTCGCGTGTTTTTAAGCAGCCGGTTTCCCCTCGGAAGCTCGTCAAGAATCGCAGTCTCCGCAGCTCTGGATTCACAGCATCAAGGTCGAGCGAGTCGTCCGAAAGGGCCAAAGAAGAGCCGCCAATGAAGTCGGAGCCGGAACCTCTGGTGCGGGGCTCAGTCGCGACCCCAGCCTCCTCCGCGCACAAGCCAGGCCAGAACCAAGGCGCCGTCTCTCTGCAAAGTGTCCTCATCCCGCCGGAAGGGTTTAACGGACCTTCCAACAGCATCTCATCAGCCGTTACCGACTTGGACGCTCAGTTTGCTCCTCTTGCGATCTCGATCCCGACTGACGACTTTCTCGATGATGCCTTCATGACCGGCTTGTCCTTTTCGAATCGCGGCAGTTTAATGTTTGGTGGCGAGCGCGCAACAGCAGCGACGGCTGTCGAAGGCGGCGTAGTCGACCTGCCGCCATCTACAACGGCCTCGGCAGACCATCGCGACGGCAGCGACGCAGGCATGGCTCCTTCTTCTGGCGAACGGACCGTCCCAGTCGATGCTAGCAACGACCGATGCAACTCGAGTCTCAGCGCCGTCACGGCGCAGCCTGTCCCCCACATTCGCATCCTCTCGCCCGATATCGAAAAAGAATCTCAAAAGGTGAGATCTCTCTACCAAGCCGGCGATGCCATCAACTGGGAAGATGGCGCCAGGTTCTCCCTTGACGAGTACTTGGAGCCTACTCCCGAGGTTCCTGCGGAGGAGGACTCTCACGACGACCCGTATGCTGTCCTTTGGCTGCCCCCTCACCCCTCCCCTCTTCCCCCCCCTTTTTTTTGAAAAGAAAAAAAAAGGTCACTCGTCTTGATGGTTCTTGATTAAGCTAACGCTGCTGGAATTTCTCTGTTTGTGAATTTTAGCGACCTCACCCCTATCGCGAACCTTGGGGAAGCCTCCGCCGGGCCAAGGTCTGTAAGCTCCTTTTCCCACTACCCCGACAATGCACGACGCGAAAAAGAGTTGGCGGGCGGTCTGGAAGACTGGCAAGACATTGATGGCGCGGATGTGGACCGATATGGCTTCATTGCACCGAAACAACCTTCTTCAAGAGTCAGTATACCGACCGAGCTCAAATCAGCGCAATTTTCTCCTAGGAGGCGAAATGTGCTACACAAAAGGGAATCCATCGGGCTCTCATCTCAGCTGGGCGGTAGAACACCAAGCAGAAAGGTTTCGGCACGATCTCTCAACACAGTCCACTCGAAAGCGTCGGTTGCGTCCCTGAGGTCCTCACTCTCCTCGCGGTCCGTAATTCGCCAAGCCAGTTATCTTTTGCCTCAAAATCGAAACCGAAGATGGATGGACGAGGCCGGTGACATGTTGACAGTGTCACCAACGCTACAAGACAGAGCGGAAGAGGCACAGGCGGAAAAGATCTCCGAGGCTCTCAAACGAAAGGAGTGGGAGCGGACTGAAAAGTGGCGCAAGATGGCCAAGGTCATCAAGCAAGGCCCTGACGGCCAGGGCATGGAGTTTGAGTTCGACGTTAAAAGCCCTAAACTTATTGAGCGAACGTGGAAAGGCATTCCGGATCGGTGGCGCGGTGCGGCCTGGTGGTCGTTTCTCGCTACGGCCGCCAAGGAGCATAACGCGCCTTCTGCCGAATTCATCATAAACTCCTTTCACAATTTGCAGCAAAGAAGCTCCCCGGATGATGTGCAGATCGACTTGGACGTCCCCCGGACAATCAGCATGCACATCATGTTTCGGCGGAGGTACCGAGGGGGCCAAAGGCTTCTGTTCAGGGTGCTCCACGCGCTGTCAATTTACTTTGCAGAGACGGGCTATGTCCAGGGCATGGCTTCACTGGCCGCCACGTTGCTGTGCTACTTTGACGAGGAAAAATGCTTTGTGATGCTGGTCCGCATGTGGTCCTTGCGCGGTTTGGACAGGCTCTACCGTCCTGGCTTTGAAGGTCTCATGACTGCTCTTCGCGAGTTTGACGAAACTTGGCTCACCAAGGCCGTATCAGAAAGACTTGTACGCATCTCCCCTCCTCACTCCCCGAAAGAAAAGAAGGTCTTCACATGCGTGTGTGCGTACTGGAGAAGCGTGTGCATGGACTGACTGTTGTGTAGAAGCAGCTGGAAATCGACTCTACCGCATATGGGACGAGGTGGTATCTGACGCTCTTCAATCTGTCTATTCCCTTTGGCGCTCAGTTGCGCGTGTGGGACGTGTTTCTGTTGTTGGGAGAAGGCGTCACGGAGCACCCGTCAAGCTCTTCAGCAAGGTCGTCGGCAAGACCACCGTCAACGACGGAGGAGAAGAGTAGTGAGGCGACAGCTGTGGCTAGCGGGCTGGATGTTCTGCATGCGACCGGCGCGGCTCTGATCCAAGGGCTCAGAGAGCTTCTCTTGGACTCTGATTTCGAAAATGCCATGAAGGCATTGACATCGTGGATACCCATCAAAGACGAGGACTTGTTGATGAAGGTGACCAAGGCTGAGTGGAAGACTCACCAGGGCAAGAAGAAGACCTAGCAAGCATGCTTGCCTTTTTGGTCTCTGTGATTACTTGTCCTTTGCCACGACTTGAGTGTTACCCGCGGAACACTTGTTGGCCAAAACCTCTTTTTTTTTTTTTTTTTTTTTACGTCGTTGGACTCGCTCCTTTTCCTCCTCGGTGTTTGGTCAGCGATATACCCCAGCACAATGGTTTCCATCCCCTAGATTTGTTGTCGATTATCCATATTTTTGTTTCCTTTTTTTTAAAGCTCTGTTTTATTATATTTTATGTGTTGTGACGGACATGACATTGATACCCCTCACCAACGGCCAATTAGAGCAGGTTCATGCCACAGACGGCAAAGTTTGTTTCCTTTGTCTACAGATGAGGGTGAGATTGCAGCAAAAATTACCGGCCGAACAGAACAGTACGCGGGGGGGTTACATGACGAGGAATACGCGGGTGGATGGTTTCACGTTGCAATTTTTTTTCACGGCAAGGGAGTAAGGGTGGCACGGTGTTCATTATACCCCGGGATATGGTTACTTTGTACATTTTGGCCTGGCCAGAACAGTAGAGGCTCGAGTAATCATAATGGTTATCCATATGCCATGCCACTGCAGTAAAGGCGGTCGTGTCCTGGGAGGACGGATGATTCGAAGCCGGCGCGTGTGGCAGTTGACATGTACGTTACGTACGTACGACTTGGCATCTCTACGCCGTCGGCCTCGGGCGTGTGTCCTTGGTTGGTGAGCCAGAGGCAATGACAAGTAAAGGCCATGCTTGGGCAGTCCGCAGTGGCAGAGGAAGCAACGTCGGTCCCGTTCATGTCGCCTGCCCGTCGTGTCGTCGTCACCGGTCAGCACCAATCAGGGTCACATCCAATCTCGGCCGCGCCAACGGGCTCCGGTACGGAGTACGTGATACGTACATGCAATGCGGCACATCGAAGGGACCCTGGGACCCTGGGACCCTGGGCTGGTACGTCGCCGTCTCCCGTGCCCGGTGCTATATTTAGACACGCACGCCCCTGGCGCAAATCAGATCAATTTCGTCGTGGGTGCCCGGGCGTGGCGAGCGTGGCGTCTCGACTCGCAACGTTGGGTTTTTCTGCAGGCCTCTTGTAACACGGCGCTTCCAATGCGCGCGCCCACAGGTGGCAGGTGCGGGAAATTGAACGCTGCGTGTATTAATAGAAGCGAGGGCATGGGGAAAGCAAGACGACGAACGGGAGCGGGACAGGAGAAGCGGCCAAGACAGCCACCTCGTCGTGATTGTTGAGACTGCTGGCCACGTCTCAGCCTGCTTCGACACATCACAATCGGCACGGGGGCGTCGGTTTCGCACCGGACGGAGACATGGGGTTGACGGACGTGATGCGCTTTGGTTATTGTTTCTTTTTTTTTTCTCTTTTTCTCTTGCAAATTGCAGGAGCGGGGAGGAGGGGAATGACCAACACGTTTGATTGTCTTGTTCTTCCCTTCGCATCGTGTTCAACACGGTGCTGAACACACGGAGACACGAGGAGAAGGGGAAGCGCTCCGTGTTGAATCCGCAAAGTGACAGACGGACAGACAGATGGTCGAGTTCCCTATTTCCGTGGGCAAACAAAATTGACGGGCAAAACACATACGTACATGGTGGTGCAGTGCACCCCGCAAGATCGATATTCCCAGCAACTGGGGCGAGGGCGGGCCAGACATGATGAACAACTCGGGGCACGCGGCCCTAGGGGAGGGGGGGGGGGGATAAAAACAAGAATAAAAAAAATAAAAAAAAAACCGTGGGAAAATAAAACAATCCGCACGCCCGCCCTGGTTCGTCCTTGCACCTCTCGTTGCTCCCAGACCCGTCCCCCCGGTGAGCCAATCAGGCTTTCGTCAAGGTCGGCTTGCCGTCCAAAAGCGGATAAAATTGGACGTACCCCAAGGACGAGAGACAAAGAGGACCGACCAGGGTCAGTATTTTCTCCCAACTTTGATCCATCTGAGAAGCTTGGAACGAGCTGCTTGGTTGGGTACGGAGTAAGTAGTCAACTAGTTGTTTCAATTGCTGCTGGGTCGTGTTCCGCGACCTAGCGACTAGCCCTCTCGGGAGGCTAAGTGTTGTCGCCGCGCTGGTGAGGCTCCTTTGCTCATGTATGTGCCTGTGCCATCCATCAATGCATACATGATGCATTGTTCCCGGCTCCAGTACGGAGTGCCAGTGTCCCGGCCGATAGCCAGGATGGACAAGTTGGGTTTGGACCGGCGCAAGATACGCACCTGGCCGAATCGTGATTCCTTCTCGTTTTCGTGCGTGGCCCCTGGGCCGTCTCTCGCCTTGCATACTCCGTACTTCACGCCGCGCCGTGTCTGGTACTTGGGTAAGTCAAGTCAAGTCATGAACCTCCTGGGTTGCGGTACCAGCAGAGTCCGTCCTTCACTCACTCAGTCCGACTCGCAATGCTGCAGCGGAATAGGCTCACAAAATGTCCAGTACGTGCCATGACATTGCGCAGAGTCTCGCGTCGTCACTCGTCTCCGGCCATCGCCATCCAGCGAGCCTCCCGGACTGACACGTAGCCGCGCATACATGGACATTCCACAGCGTCGTCATCCTTGTCGTCCGCTGGCTTTCAGAATTCTGTCCTGATCGATTCCACCTTTCTCGTCTGTCCTCCTTTGCGCACAGATCACATCTTAATTTCTCCTGGTCGCACAGGCGTGCGCCAACCTCTTGTGAATATCGACTCGTTGTCAAGTTGGTCGGTCCTGCGTGCTTGCTTGCTTGCTTGCTTGTCTTGCTTGCCTCTGACTTCTCTTCTCGTCAGTCAGTGCTGCGTGCGCTATTTGTCTTTGTTGGGAGCTGAAGTGAGGAACGGACCAATTCCATACAATTCGAATCAACATCCCGGCCTCGAATCCCTGCCCGCCGCGACAACCCCCATGCAACTTCATATTGCAGGACTGTTACCGGACCCCTCGTTCCTCCCAAACCAGGCCACACCGTCCACGTTGAGAAAGCCCATCAAGAAGAGCTACGGAGTACGGAGTAGTTATCCAAATGCTGCCCAGCCCGGCCGGCACATCATGTTACCTGCATACATGGCTGAAGCCACTCGAATAGCTGAGTCCTTGCACCGAGCAACAACACGCGCGGAAGCATGCAAACCGGCTTCCGAAGCACTCAATCCGTTATCATGAGATGGTGATGACCATGGTTATGCCTAGTATATATTTCTTCGTTACTGGACTGGCTAGCAGTCCGTCGTTATGATGCGTATTTCCAAAAAGAAACAGGAGAAAAAATCTCAGCAAGAAACATGTCCATCGAATCCGGAAATGAATACTCGCAAAGATGTGGCAAAAATGGTGGGTCGTTGCAAAATGCCGCAAGCTGCTGACCGACACATACATATATATGAATACAAATGCAAACACGCCTCGGCAGCCCCCTCAAGGGCTAGCATAGCTCTCTAGCAAAAAAAACCTGCACATTGACACGCCTGGTGCTGTGACTCCCAGAAAACTTACAAAACTCTCAGTAGCGGCGTAATGACCACAGCCAGTCTTCAGATCCATGAAGGGGAGCAAGAAAAGAGAAAAAGGACAAAGCAACCCCCATTTCTCCTTTCCCCATGAGAAAAAAAAAAGAACAAGAATTGTAGTTGTCAAACTCGAGCCGGAACGAAGAAGAAAACATTCTTATGACTTTGATTGTCAGTCCCGTCTGTCCAATTTGAAGGGCAATGGCAAGACAAAGTGAATATATATGTTCGTGCGGTCGTCGCGTGTGCCAAATGTACGCCGATGCTGCGGAAACCATCGTTCACCCCCTACAAACAACTGATAATTTTTGTGCTCCTTTGCCCGACTGGCGGTATTGTCAAGAAATAAAATGGTATAAAAAAAAGATCCTTGTCCCATCAGCTCTGCTCAGAAGTCCTTGGTGATGTTCTCTCGCGTGGCATCCCTTCTTCCTCGCGGCGCCGAGGTATGGGTCTCTCAGGGTCATGGGCCGGGTGAAAATGCGACCGTGAAAGCTCGTGTGCAAGCAGAGTAGATACCGATTGCTTGCCTGGATCACCGCCATATCTCTCTCGGGAAAATTCTGGATTGACATCTCGTGGCGACACGGATCGCGGCCCGCCACGTTCTGGGTCCTCCGCATCATGGTGATGACTCGAGGGTCGATACCACGCTAAATCGCTCCTCTGGCGTTTATGGCCCCCCTTTCGGCCCGGAGGAGGGTTTGACAAGGTGCTCTGTATAAATGGAGGCGGAGATCGGAGTCGATGCTCGCCCGGCATTCCTGACAGCTGTAAACCTGTAGCTTTGCGTTTTCTGCCAGACTCTCCTGTCACGACGCAAGGCAAAGATAGAACAAGTGTTAGTTTTACAGCGATTCTCGCTTTCTCTTGGTTTTGGACGCACCGGACGGAGTTCCCGGTCTGTTGGAGCTTCCGCTCCCCGATTGCGTCGCAGGTGGTTGCCAATGATGAAAGTACAGCCCTGGACTCGACTCCTGTGGTGCCGGCGGCCCATGCATGTGGGTTTGGGAGCCATACGGCGACATACCCGCGCTGCCGGGCTGACTAGGCTGCGGCGCATTCCCTCCCCCAACGGGCATGCTCGACCGGCCTACAACTCCGCTGACGGTCTGCCCACGGGGCCTCGTAGGCGATGCGGGATACGGGCCGTAGCCTCCGGAGCCTGAGGGAGGTGCTGCAGGAGCCGCACCAGGTCCGGGATACTGGGCCTGAGAGCTCCCTTCTCTGTGGTGTGATTCCGGCGAATGCTGCCTCTGAGGTGGCAAAAGCTGCAACGGCTGGCTATGCACGGGCGGGAGATACTGCTGGGCCCATTCCACTGCTGCTTGTGGCAATGTTCCGCCGGCGGCCATGCCAGCAAAGACCAAGGGTATCATGGGTGGAGGAATGCCGCCTCGAATAGACTCTCGCAGCATCTCCATTTCCACTCGTCGTTGCTCCAGCCGAAGACCCTCCTGCCTGGTTTTCTCTTCCTCCGTCTTCGCCTGCAACCAAGTTCTCATGGATTCCTCAGATCCGTGCCATTGCTGCGGAGGAGGCGGTAATGAGGTCCACGGCTGGGCTAGGGGACCGGCTTGGCCAGTAGGCGGAGGTGGAGGCGGAGGTTGTTGATGTCCGTGATGCTGAGGAGGTTGTACGACAGCTGATGGAGGAGGAGGAGGTTGCTGGGACGGAAGCGCCATGGCCGCTGGTGGCGGCAGCCCACGGTGAGGTGCCGACATTGCTTGGTTACTCGGGCTGTGGCTGCGAGAAACGACCTGGTGATGTTTGTACGCGGCTTCCGAATGACTCAGGGGCGGAGAGGGTCGAGATGTTGAGGGAGGAGTTGGCAAATCATGAACGGACCTATAGCCGTACGTGGGTGGCTGCTTCACAGTAAGCATCGTCGCTTTATAACGACTATAGAAACGCCAAGTAACGTTTGTAGAAGCATGGGCGTGCAAGCACGCTTGAATAGAAAAGAATTAATAAACCAAGAGACAAAAGACGAGAAGGAGAAGAGTGCATGTATATATTTCGAAGAGGATGATTGGTGACGGTAGTAACTAGTGACAATGACCAACGGTGATGATGGTGGTGATGGTGGTGGTGATGGTGATGACGATGATGGCGGGATGGTGAGATGATGACGGATGTTACTTCCAGTTTCAGTAAAGATATTGAAGGAGAGACAAGAAAGAAAAAAAAAGGGAGGGGGGGGATTCAACTTGGGAAGGGGGAATAGGAGGGAGTGAGGTGTTCTGGACACGATGGGAAAGAAGTAGAAAGAATCCAAGACGACGAAGGCGTACGAAGTACAGAAGTGGATATCAAGTCTTTAAGTCAGGATGCCCACTGCCCACTGCCTGCTGCCCGCTTGCCCGCTGCCCGCTGCCGGGTGTCACGGGGAAGGTACCAAGAACCAAGACACAAGAGACACCAACACAGCTGGGAAAGAATGCAAGGCCAGCTGGAGGTGTAGACCAGCTCGGGTTTGGGGACGGTCGAGGTCGAGCTCGAGCAGACTCAGCAGAGCAACGGCCGAGGAGGTGGGTCGGTGGGCAAAGGCGGGTCAACCTCATTAGGACATGGCTGAGAGGTTAGAGGAAGGCACTCGCGGTGGATGCGGGATGCTCCCTTGGGGAAAGAGCAGTCGACCCGACCAACTGGGGGTGGCCTTATTCGGTATCTGGAGCGGTCTGGTCTCTGCGGCGCTTCCTGGATCGGGTCGACGAGGCACAGGCGCATTGCGTGGAGCAGCAGCGAGGGTGACGACGCGAGAGGCGCCCGAAGTGGACGAGGGCGAGAAAAGCCAGTTGAAAGCCCCGGCAGCTCCAGGGGGGGACCAGACCACGACCTGGCCGCAGCGGTTGAGCGGTTGGCGGTTGAGCGGATAGCGGACACAGCGTCCTGGAAATAATAAGTCGACGAGTCCTGGCACTGGGACCTTGTCGACGTCGTGCAAGGCAGCGGTGGAGAAGCGTTGGTTCGTCCGAGAAAGATGGGGCTGGTGCTGGTGAGCAATTATCAACGAGCTGTGCCGCGAGGTCACCAAGGTCAACAAGGACGGGTCCTGCAGCCCAGAAGCAAGGGAAGAACAAGCAAAGCTGGCAGGCAAAGCTGGCGGCGTTGTCGCAAGGCTGAGAGGTGTGTGTGCCGTCACTTTATTGTCTGTCTACTTGGGGACATGGAGACGGCGTGCAAGCGAACGGTGTGGGTGTGGCGTTGAACCGGGGGGCCAGATGGCAAAAACGAGGGAAGCAGAGTGGCATGTCTAGCCAAGTATCTATCTATCCACACACAGAGTTGCGAGTAGCAAGCGGTACTGACGGCGCCTATATGCAAAGGGGAATCGTCGTGCGTTGTGTGTATTATAAACAGCGACAACAAAAACAACAAAGGATGGAGTAGCCCTGGTCCGTGACTGTTGGTAGCCCTCTGGTTGAGAAATAATACGAGGTATAAATTATAATAATACAAATTACATTATTAACCATGTCATTATTCACAGACGAACAGAGCCGAAGATGGACAAACAAATGAATGCGTCTTGGTCTGGAAAGGACGTCTTGAAGCGAGACCGACGCTCTTCTCCACGCAGGACCGGCAAAGGGGACAGGCAACGGCCGGAACGAGCGGACAGCCGTGGCAAATTGCCTGCAGCGGTACGGAGTAGCCAGAGTCAGGTATTGCGGGACAGAGGGCCCAGTATCAACTTTTCGATGCAGGTTGAGCTGGGCTGAGACGCAACGGGGATCGATGGCACAGGCTTGGGTTGTGATCCTTGCCAAGCCCTCCATGCTTGGGCCTCAAAAGCCGAAGACGAAGCGACGAGATGAAGAAGAGGTTGGGGGGGTCAACTGACGGGGGGCGAAAGGGCATCTGGACCGTAGCTACCAGTAGAGGCAAACACCACGGGGAAACGAAATGAAATGAAGCATCAGAGGCAGAGAGCAAAGCCGGGAGCTTGGGTAACGACAGTAGAGGCGAAAAGCGGAGAGAATGAAGAGGGTGAGCGGGTTAAAAAAAAAAACTAGACGTGGATGATGCGGGAAGGAGAGAGCGAGGGGCAGCGCCGACAACAGGCTGACTCCGACACCGACTTGCACATCGACATCAACACACCAATGATGCTGGCGCCTTGCAGAAAGGGCTCACGTGTTTGGTGGAACGCCTAGTCTTGGTTGTCGCCAGAGAAGGCCTTATAGATCATCATCATGTATTCATTCATTGACAGATAGAATCAATGGCCCTCAAAGTGCGACTGACTACGAGTCTACGACAAGCTGCTGCTGGCAGCCAGGGGTCGCGGACGTCGGCGCCGGCATTTTGATATCAGTGCCGAGCAAGAACACAAAACATGCCCCAAGTTTTTATAAGAGAACACTCGAACCATGGGAACCGGCATGGGCTCGATCGAGCTCGGGCTCGGGCTCGGGTTTGGGCTTGGGGCTTCCCTAGTGTGTCGTGCAACCGCAATGTCCCTTCCAGCTTTGAGCTTCCAGCCATCTGCTCCCACGTCCTTGCGGCCCTTGTAGCACATGAATCGATTGGGACATGCCAGCGAAAGCTGGCCTGCTGCAGATGTCACGCTTGACCTAATTGGATTGATCCACGGCTCCCTGGCTACGACGTATACACGTGTTTGTCTTGCTTGGGCTTTGCCGTGACAAAACCCCCCGTGCCGGCAACATTGAATCGTGCATGTATCGGCTTGGGTTCGCGCTGCATGGCTCGGCATGGACCTTTTCTGTCAGACCAGCCTGGCCGGCATTGGAATGCGTTGGCTGGTCCGTTCCAGGATGGGGAATACTAATTGGAACCGAGGCTGGGGTTTGGCCGGCTGCCGTCTCATCTGTTGCCCGTATGTTTGCATTGGTAGCATGTATATTGGCCCCTTTGACGTTTGTCTGTGTGTCGTGGAGCTTCATTGACGGGCTGAAAGTGCATGGATGGGCCAACGATTCACGAGACCCAAACACACATTGTACTACTAGTCCCAACCCCAGGGACAAACTCGACGAGATCCCAGGTCGCATTTTGGTCCCAACAGAGATGTGGCCCTGCCGGCTGCCTATTCGCCTGTTAGGTTCTAATTGTTTCTGGTGGCAACAAAGCACCTACACGTGCAGGAGGTGTCCGACGACCCAGTGGAAGGGCGTTGTTAGCGCTATCTTGCCACGGAGGCGGTGGGATGCTTCGTACGAGGACGTCTCGAGGTAAAATTTTTGCTACCCATGGAACGGACGGCGGCAGACCATGCTGGTCAAAGTTGGAGCTCAAATCCCTGCTGCTGAATACTAACGGTCGGAGCGGCCCAACCAACACCCATTCTTCGAGCTGCCAGCCGCCAGCCGCCGACCGCTAACCGCTAACCGCTAACCGCCGACCGCCATACCTAAAGGCACTTGACGCAACTTGGCCATTCGGTTGCCTGCCCGAGAACGGCTACTATGACGGTACCACTGGTCACATGGTCTAGTGAGTTCGAGTGAGCCGGCATGGCAAGAGCCAACTTGGAAGGTGCGACGGGTCCCCGGTCGCTCGGGACGCTGCTTGAAACGTGAAGCATCAACTGCCTGTTTCTTTGTTGTCTCCTGCAATGCTATTCCCAACCCCATGCCAAGGCGAAAACCTGCAAACATATGTGGTCATTCGGGACCATGCTTTGAACCCTCCGTCGTCAAAATACTCTGATTTGCGGCTCAAAAAGAAAATACACAACAGCATTGAAGACTGCGTTCAGAACTCGCCTCCCTGGCCCCTATTCCTGCTGCCGCCTGCCCAGTCATGCATGGTCACGATGTCCGCCGGCAGCAACACTTTGCACCTCCGACTTGCAAGGAAGCATGCCGACAACGTACGAAGTAAAGCTAGCTAGCTAGCTTCCTTTTCTGACACTACGAAGTCCTTTCCCCTGTCCCGTCCCCGCAACCGCCACCCGTCACACGTTACGGAGTACAAGCGAAGGAAAGAAATGAAGGGGAAGAATGAGAAGGGAAGAAAAAAAAAAAAAAAAAGGCCGCCTCGGCGCTTGGCCCTCTCCGTCACTACTGCTGCCAAGAAACTTGGACCGATGACGGCGGGGCCAAGCCGTCCACATGACGCTCGGCTTCGGCGAGACGTTCGTCTACCTCAATCTCCTGTACTACGTGAGGTAAGAATCCCCTTCCCACAGCGGTAGCGGTCGACGGGGCTCCCAACTTGCCGCCGCCGCCCCTGCTTACGCCTTGTCAGCACCCTCATGCTTCACCGCGAGTACTTCCCCTTCCTGCCGACCCCGGAGTCGGAGCCACGGGGTCCAGTCGACCAGCCCATGCTGGGGGCGCCCGCCCCCGAGGGCTGGTGGGACGACAGCTCCCGACTCCTCTTCGGCGCGGCAGAGCACATCGCCGCCATTCTACACGAGGCCTCCGAGTGTGGCGTGCATCTCATGACGCCCTTTGCCGGGTTCTGCGCATTCTCAGCCGGCTACCTCAACCTCTACGTGGCGAAATACCCCCGAATGAACCTGGGCCGCAGCCCGCGAGCAAGCGACTGTCTCAAAATGTGTCTCGACTACCTGGAAAAGTTTCGACTTGTCTGGAAAATCGCCGACGGATGGGTAAGCCGCCCGCAAGCATGACACGACCGTGGCCACCGTTGCGCTAACATTGAGAGGGCGGCACGCGCAAGATCAAAACGATACACCATGCATCCGTGCTCTACGAGCGAGCAACCGAGGACCGGACACGATACCAGGGGCGCACACGAGCAGACTTTGATACTCTACACCAGTCTGTCCACGAGTTCCGTGTCGTGGATAGATCCGACGCGCATACTCGGGAGATTCGGGGCGCGGAGCGGCCCTCGGCGCAGGCGACTTGGCCGGTTCAAGGGCACGAGCACGAGCACGAGCACGAGC